TTTCTTGTAAAGCTGTTTTAATGGTGCTGAACTCTTCTAGCTTTTTCTTGTCTGTAAACCTCTTTATCTCTCCTTCTAATCTGAAAGATAGCCTTTCTGGGTAGAGTGTTCTTGGTTGTAGGTTTTTTCCTTTCATCACCTTGAATATATGGTGCCACTCCCTTCTGGCCTGAAAAGTTCTGCTGAAAAGTCAGTGATAGCCTTATGGTAGCTCCCTTGTGGATAACTAGTTGCCTGTCCCTTGTTGCTTTTTTTTTTTTTTTTTTTTTTTTTCCTTGCGTTATGCGGGCCTCTCACTGTTGTGGCCTCTCCCATTTGCGGAGCACAGGCTCCGGACGCGCAGGCTCAGTGGCCATGGCTCACGGGCCCAGCCGCTCCGCGGCATGGGGGATCTTCCCGAAACGGGGCACGAACCCGCGTCTCCTGCATCGGCAGGCGGACTCTCAAGCACTGCGCCACCAGGGAAGCCCCCTTGTTGCTTTTAAAATTCTCTGTTTTTCTTTAATTTTTGCCATTTTAATTGTAACTAACCTCTTTAGATTCATCTTGTTTGGGACTCTGTGCTTCCTGGACCTGGATATCTGTTTCCTTCCCCAGGTTAGGGAAGTTTTCAGCTATGATTTCTTCAGATAAGCCTTCTGCCCCCTTCTCTTCTCCTCCTGGGACTCCTGTATTGTGACTGTTAATATGCTTGATATTGTCCCAGGGGTCTCTTAAATTATACTCATTTTTTAAAATTCTATTTTTTCTTCAGCTTGAGTGATTTCTGCTGTTGTTTTCCAGATTGCTGATGTATTCCTCCGTATCATCTAATTTGTTGTCCCTTCTATTTATATTTTTAATTTGTTATTGTATTCTTCAGCTCTGTTTGGTTCTTCTTCCTATTTTCTAACTACTGAAATTTTATGTTCATTGATTCTTCTCCTGAGTTTGGTGAGCATATTTATGATCATTACCTTGAACTCTTTATCTGGTAGATTGCTTATCTCCACTTTGTTTGTTCTTTTTCTGAGGTTATGTCTTGTACCTTCATTTGGAACATATTCCTCTGTCTCCTCACTTTACCCAATTCTTTGTGTTTATTTCCATGTGTTAGGTAGGTTGTTTATGTTTCCCATCTTGGAGAAGTGGCCTTATTTAGGAGACCTCCTCTGGGGCCCCAGCAGCACACTCCTTTTTGGTCTCCAGAACCAGATGCTTTAGGGGTGTCTTCTATGTGGGCTGCATATACATCCTTCTGTTGTGGTGGGGCTGATTACTGTGGGAGCACTGGTAGGCAGGGCTGGCCCCTGGCCTGGTTGGCTGTGAGGCCATGCCTTGTATAGTGGCTGTAGGCCTACTAGAGGGTAGGGTAGTCTTCCTGTGAAGTTGGCTGCATGGTCTCGGGGCTCAGTGGTTCACTGGAGGGTGAAGCTGGGTCCCCACATGGCTGTCTTTCTGGCAGGCCAGGGGTGAGGTTTGGGGCTTGTGCCAGCCTGCTGGTGGGCAGGGCTGGGGCACCAGCACTAACAGACTAGAGGAAAATTCCAAAGTGGTGTGTTCCAGTACCAGTGTTATTGGGGTAGAACAGACTCCCAAAAATAGCTGACCCAGGCTCCTTTCAAACTACTGCCTCAGTGTTGGAACTTAGAGCATGTGACACTTTGCATGTGCCCTTGAGAACAGAATCTTATTCCTGTATCCCTCTAGTTCTCCTGAACATAAACCCTGCTGGTTTTTCAAAGCCAGACATTCTGGGGGCTCATCTTTCCAGTGCAGAACCCCTGGGCTGGGGACCCCATTTGGGGCTCAGACTCCTTGCTCCTTGTAGAGGACCTCTGTGCTTGTGATATTCCTTGCATTTGTGGGTTGCCAGCATGGGGTATGGGTCTCCACCTGTCCTACCCATCTCGTGTGGTCATTTTTGTTTGTTTCTTTTAATTTTTAAAAAAAGTTTTTATTGGTGTACAGTTCCTTTACAATTTTGTGTTAGTTTCCACTGTACAGCAAAGTGAATCAGCAGTACATATACATATATCCCCTCTTTTTTGGATTTCCTTCCCATTTAGGTCACCACAGAGCATTGAGTAGAGTTCCCTGTGCTATACAATAGGTTCTCATTAGTTATCTATTTTATACATAGTTTCAGTAGTGTATGTATGTCAATCCCAATCTCCCAATTCATCCCACGCCCCCCTGCTTTCTGCCTTGGTATCCATACGTTTGTTTTCTACGTCTGTGTCTCTATTTCTGCTTTGTAAATAAGATCGCCTATATCAGTTTTTTCAGATTCCACATATATGCGATAATAAACGATATTTGTTTTTCTCTTTCTGACCTACGTCACTCTCTATGACAGTCTCTAGGTTCATCCACGTCTCTACAAATGAACCAGTTTTCTTCCTTTTTATGGCTGAGTAATATTCCATTGTATATATGTATCGTGTGCTTACTTCTTTATGTCTTTAGTTGTGGAAAATCTTTTCTGCTAGTGTTCAGGTTATTCTCATAGATAGTTGCTTTGTAGCTAGTTGTAATTTTGCTGTGTCTATGGGAGGAGGTGAGTTCAGTGTCTTCCTACTTCACCACCTTGGCCACCTCCCCTACTCTTGAAATTTTATCTCAATTCTCTATTTGATTTGTCTTTATTTCTCTTTTATTTTCACTGGCAATACCTAGGAATTGAAGATTATGTAGCTAAAATACCAAAAATGATTTTTCTTTTTTTTTTAAGATCTCTTTTTTAGTGACATCTACCTATTACCAGTGGTTGAACTGTTTGAAAGGATGCATTATGAATACTTCTCCCTAGCAAAGCAAAGAACATGTAGGGGTCCTCAAATGACCTTTCCTGACAAACTAGAGAATGAAATTTGAAAGCATTCTGTGAGATTTTGGTCCAGCTTAGCTCCCATAACTGTTCATCTTTACCGTCCTTCAAAAATATGTTAACTTCAGGACAGTGACTTAAGAAAAATCCTGGTGAAATTCTGAGAATTCCCCAAGGATTCTAAAAGGTAATTGTGAAGCATGGGAGGAAGGCAGTTAGGACATCCTCATCTTTTTCTTGAGTTTTAAGATGTTCTTGAGCCTCACTTTTTAGAAGTGTAGAGTATACAAAAGGAAGGAAGTAGGGTGAAGAGATTGGAGTAATAACTTGAAATATGCATATATGCTTAATGCCCACATGTAGGCCCCGGGCTTTTCTTATATTTTAATGAATATTTATCTAACATTCTAGACTGACAAATAGTTTTTAAAAAGCAGTACCTCTTGCAATTTCACTCATTTTTCCTCTGCATGTATTGTCCTATAAGCAGTAGTAATAATAAAATATGTAAGATTGGAAACTTTTTTTTTTTAAAGCATATATAGTTAGGGAAATTTTTTGTCCATAATTCACAGTGGCCTTTAAAGTTCCTCATAGTTTTTCAGCTCCTTGCCCTTGTTCTTGTTCTTGGTGAGTTTATGTTGCTGGAAATATGTATAGTTTATCTATCACACTGTGAGTGTTTAGCCAGTCTTCAAAGTGAATTTATGTTGCTATTAAAAATGCATGTTTAGGGACTTCCCTGGTGGTGTAGTGGTTAAGAATCTGCCTGCCAGTGCAGGGGACACAGGTTCCATCCCTGGTCCAGGAAGATCCCAAATGCCACAGAGCAGCTAAGCCTGTGCATGACAACTACTGAGCCTGTGGTCTAGAGCCCGTGAGCCACAAATAACTGAGCCTACATGCCATAGCTACTGAAGCCCGCGTGCCTAGAGCCCATGCTCCGCAACAAGAGAAGCCACTGCAATGAGAAGCCCGCGCACCACAATGAAGAGTAGCCCTCACCCACTGCAACTAGAGAAAGCCCGTGCGCAGCAACAAAGACCAACACAGCCAAAAATAAATAAATTAATTAATTTAAAAGACAAAAGTGTGTTTAAGATGGTCTCATATTTTATAAAGTAACAGCGGAACATATGAATTCACTTCATCATGTTGCTCTAAGATAGAAAGAAAATTCAGACTGTGTTACAAACCAAAGGAAAATAACTCTCTGTTTTTTCTAAAGTTAAAATAATAGATTTGTTTATTTGTCCTAGGGTATGCCCAGTGTGTATGTATAATAAATAATAAAAGGCTTATGCCAGGTAAGTTGGAATTTTGGAACAAAAGAGATGTAACTGATTCATCTGTACTTTTTTTGTATTATCAAACCAACTCTCTAATATATTAAATTTTAGCAAAACTTCAGTTCTGCTACATTAGGTACATTTGCACCTTTAAATCCCTGCTGTAATTAAAGCTAATTCTTTATGTTTTGTATGTTGACTTGATAATTGGCTCAACGTTGAGAAAGAAAATTTAGGTTTAGTTGTATTCTCTAGGCCTGCACAGTTCAGCCAGCTCCATCTGGCTACTGAATACTTGAAATGTAGCTAATCCTAATTAAGATGCTTTCTAAGTGTAAACTACACTCAATTTTGAAGACTTAGTACAGAAAGTCCATGTAAAATATTTTGGTAATTTTTATAGTGATTAAATGTTAATTTTATATATAATTAATAATATTTTGTAAGTACTGGGTTAGATAAAATGAATTTCACTGGTTTCTTTTTACTTTTTTAATGGCCCTACTAGATAATTTTAAAGTATAAAATATAATTTGCATTTTATTTTTGACAGCATTGTTCTAGGCTGTCACATGTCCAAGCAATATGTGATGAGGGCCTGGACTGGGACAGTTAAGACACTGAAAATAGATAAGGAGAGAAAATTGGGATAAATTTCAAACATAGTCTATAGCACTTGGTAATTGATTTCAAGTGGTGGTTAAGGAGATGTCAAAGACTTATGATTTGGATAAGTGGATGGTAATATCATTAACCAGGAAAGGGAACATGAGAGGAAGAGGCAGTAGAGATAATAGGTATTTCACTGTACATATCTCTTCACTAATTCATTGAAACATTTAGCATTAAATATAAGATGGTCATGTTTAAGAGTCTTCTCTCCTGTTACCACCTCTTTCCAGAATTTGAATTCAGAAGATCAAAAAACATCAAGTATTGAACATATAAGCTGCAGTGAGGGAGAAGATTTTGCAAGCGTGAAAAAGAAGGCCAAAATAGACATTCATTACAAAAAGAGTCCCCCCAAATATACTGTTCCAGTTAGCGCAAAGACTGTAGAATCTCCTCTTAATGAAAACATTTATAATTCGGCTTCATTTAAAGATGAGAAAATCATAGAGACTGATAGTGAGCCTGAAGAAGGTGAAATTACAGACTCTCAGACCGAGGACAGTTATGATGAAGACATTACCAGTGAAGACAATGTAACTGCAGAAGATTCTGAAGATGAAGGTGAGTAAATGGCCATTATTTAATTTTATATAAATAACCAAGTATGGTCATTGTAAAAGTGCAAAACAGTTAAAAGTGTTACTAACCCATATAATATATCTGCCGAAAAGTGAGCTGATTGTTTTAAAGAGATTAATGACATTATTAAAAATTAAAACTGCTTGGTTATTTTTCAACAGGATGTGAATAAATGACTAGTACTTGGATCGTGAAGTTTCATTGCATTGAATGGCTTAGTCAGTAGAACACAAAACCAAGTTACCTACTTTCTAATCCTAAAGTAGCTACAAAGCCTTTTTTGGTGGATTAGATATTTGTCCACTTTTGTAATTGAGGGAGGGAAAGCAGTTGCCTTTAAAAAGAGTAGTCCATGAATTCAGCTTACATAGGTATTATGGTAAATCTAATATTTATTTTACTTGAGGATATAAAGATATACTTTTAAAACTCAGGAATTCATATTGGTGTATATGAGCTTATTTTGTTCTTAATGGAATTTCCTCTCATTTTTTCTTAAAAAGGGCAGACTCAGTTTTTCTAACATAATGTAAAAATGCTTTTTTGGGATACTTTCAAATTCCAAGACCTTAAAAAAGAGAGAGTTGATTATTTTATAATTGTGATAGGTGCTGAATATCTTTAGGTTGATCTTTTTATAAATTTATTTATTTTTGGCCACATTGCATGGCATGTGGGATCTTAGCTCCCTGACTGGGGATCAAGCCTGTGCCCCCTGCAGTTGAAGTGTGGAGTCTTAACCACTGGACCTCCAGGGAAGTCCCATAGGTTGATCATTTTAAATTGGTAACATTGTTAAACCTTACTTACTGTGTATGTGATATAGCAGAATTTAAGAATGTTGTTTTAAACAGAATGAAGATTTTTATCAATATATTTTTACTTTATGTATGCCTCCTACTCATCTCTATACATTTCTCATTTTTTCCCGTAGCATTTGAATTAATATTTACACATTTCTTTGGCAGATGAAGAAAAAATTTGGCCCCCATGTATTAGAGTAATTGTAATTAGATCACCTGTGTTGCAGACAGGATCACTTTTTATCATTACAGCTGTAAATCCTGCTACAATTGGAAGGTAAAAATGTTTAGTGTTATTATATTTGTGTATTTGTCTTATTCCAGTGGACTGTACTTTTCCTGAGCAGTTAATCATTAAATATGCGTGGTACTTGTTGAATAGGAAAAATGTCCCTGTCCATGTCCCTCCCTTTTCCACTCAAAAAGTATTCTGACACCTACCTTTTGTCACCTGCTTTTGGAAGACAATTGGAGATGTAACCTCATTATCCCTAAAGGGGACTGACTGCCTATGTAAAGGGATAAAATCTTGGTGATATGATACCTTCCACAGAGGTTTTCTCATTTTCTTACATTTTGTATTGCTTTTTTTAGGTTTAAATTACTTAAACCCACTATTGACCTCCTCTGATTCTTTTCCTTTACCCCTTTATAATTCAGCCAGCTTGGGAGAGATGTAGGTTTTAATCATGAGTAGGATAATTTCCTTTCTTCCTAACTGGAAAGGTAATGTATCTTTAATTCAGGTTCCATATGATATCTTAATTTTAAATTCTTAGAAATAGTATACTTTTTTTACATGTAGTAATAGAAGTGGAAACAGTCAACAGGTCTGGAAAAAGTGATTGACATTAGTACAAAGGATATTTTGTCTCACTGGATGTTTACTAGCCTGTGACAGATGTACCAAAGAGTAAAAGTAATTCTGGAACCTTCTTTCAAAAAGGAAGTTAGAGTAGCATTATGGGAACCACATTTAGTGTGACAGAGAGACTTGCATTTTAACATCTTTTAAAATAAAAAAACTTATCTTTAAAAAAATTCTTTAAGTGCTACATTTATGTATGCTTCAAAAATAATTAAAGGCATTTTACTTAACTCTGCAGAGAAAAAGATATGGAGCATACTCTCCGAATCCCTGAAGTTGGTGTCAGTAAGGTAAGCTCTTTGATTTTTCGGTTACAGCCCCCTAGATGTGATTTTGTAAATCATCCTTATGGCAGAAAGCTTAGGATTTTTCCCATTAAAAAGAAAGGTTAATAGTCAATATAGTAATGGTAATGAAAGCAATGCAGATTTGTTTATTCCACTGCTTGAGAAAATAAAAACTCTCTTTCACAATTTGGATGAGCTAAAATTATGTTTAATTTTTAACAGTCTGGTGCAGGAGTAGAAAATGTGGATTAATTTAAGTATTAAAGTAATACCCATTTAACAAATATTGAGTGAAATAAATATGTTAGATATTATAGCAGTTCAAAAATAAATCAGACCTGGATTCAGGCTACTTTAGTGCATGGTTACTTTGAGTCCAGGGTATTTTCCAACTCAAGAACAGTCTATCCTCTACCATCCAAGGCTTTCCATTTATATCTTTTCCTAGTTGTGTCTCTAATGGTTTCAGGAAAAAGAGCAGTTGGGTTTTTCAAAACAAACAATAAGAACAGTTGCAGCTTAAGTTATAAGGTTCAGCTACCAAAACTCTCATTTATCTTTTTTCTTTACTATATTTTCTGTACTTTTCCCCCTCCCTTTTCTGACTGTTAACCTTTTTTCTTTTTTTTTTGACCTTTCATCATCCCCATTTTGTTTCTATTTCATGGACTATAATATAATTCTAAAATATGTATTTTTTGTGATTTTTTTTGTCTTTTTGGAATGAAATTTGTTTTCCCATTATTAGTTTGAAAGTCTAGTTATTTTTACTTTGTACTCATTCAGAGAGGAGGAAATCCTCGTAATCCTAACTCTGACCAAGTTATCTTTCTTTTTAACCGTCTTATGACCCTTGATTCTTCTGCCTCCAAAGAAAACCCAATCTGTAACTTAAATAGCAAAGACATCCTTCTCCCACTTCAGTCTAAAATGTAGGTAGTTCTCTGGTGGCATTTCTGCTTTTTTTTTTTTTTTTTAAAACAAACATGTCCACTGGTGGGATAGAGAATTTGTTAGCTGTGTGAAATCAGTTTGACAATATATATCACACATATCCAGGTATATGAAAAAATTAAATTAAAAAACCCCCACATACTTCATATTAATATTAGGGGGAAAACAGAAATGAATATTTAACGAATGGATAGGAAAGGACCTTCTAAGTTTAAAAAAAAAAAAAAAAAAAGGAAAAGGGCTTCCCTGGTGACGCAGTGGTTGAAAGTCCGCCTGCCAATGCAGGGGACACGGGTTCATGCCCCGGTCCGGGAAGATCCCACATGCCGCGGAGCAGCTGGGCCCGTGAGCCATGGCCACTGAGCCTGCGCGTCTGGAGCCTGTGCTCCGCAACGGGAGAGGCCACAACAGTGAGAGGCCCAAGTACCGCAAAAAATAAAAAAGTAATACATAAATAATAAAAAATGAGAAAAAGGAGAAAAATCACAGAGGACAAGGTAATACTGAATAATTTAAATTTGAAGTTCTTTATTTGTTAAATAAATTTAAAAGGTAGACTAGGACAGTCAGATCTGATAAAATATATATCCTTTATATTTTAAAAGCTCATACAAATTCATTTTTTCAAACCCTGCTGTGAGTAAATGAGAGAAGGACATAAGTAATTCACAATAGAGGAAATATGGTTAATATGTGAAAACCATTCAATATTTGTAGTAATTTAAGAAATACAAATGAGACCAAGATGTCAGTTTTCATTCATCCTATTTATTAAATATCATTCCTGTTGAGAGCATAATTTAGAAAGCTCTTTGGAATAAGGTTTCAGGTCAAAAGACTTGAAACTGTTTAAATTCTTTGATATAGTTATTATGATCCTAAACAACCCAATTGAAAGAAATGTATGAAGGACATGAAGAGAAAATTTACAGAAGAGGACACCCAAATGGCTAATAAATATAAGAAAAGGTTTCAGTCTCAGCAGTAATAAGGGAAATGCAAATTAAAATCACAGTGATGAGATTAATTTCATACTTGTTATGCTTGCGAAAACTAAAAATTCTGACAATACAAAGTGTTGTTTTAGAGTACATGGAGCAACAAGAATTCTTATAGATTGGTGTGGAATATAAATTGGTCCAACCACTTTGGAAAATGATAATGGCAGTATCAAAGTTTAAGGTTTGCATATACTGTGGCTTAGTTTCATTCCTAAGTGTATACCCCAGAGAAACCCTTGTATTGTCCACAAGAAGGGTGCATGTACAAGAATGTTCATAGAAGCATTTTGAAAAATAGTAAAACCTTGGAAAAAACCTGGATGTTGGCATCAGAAGAATGTGTAGAAATATGTAGAACACGTAGTGGTACAGCCATACAATGGATTACCATTCAGCAAAGTAGCACAACTATACACAACAGCTAGATATACTTCACAACATAATATTAAGCCAAAGAAGCAAGGTAAAAGAAATATATACTCTTAGCATAAATTTGTCAGAACTCAAACTGTACATTTAAGAACTATGAATTTCCGGTCTATAAACTGTGTCTCAATAAAAAATTCATATTCATAGTGTGATTCCTATTTATATCAAGTTCCAAACAAGACAAAATAAACATAATTTTTATGGGTATATACTTATATGGTAAAAGTATAAAGAGATACATCATGATTAAATAAACATCAAACCTCTCAAAGAAAGGGTGGAGGATAGAGTGAAGTACACATCGATGGATAATAATTTATTTTCTTTTAAGTATCTGAGGCAAATATAGCAAAATTTATTAAAGCTGGATCATGGGTAGACATTTTTCAGTATATTCTTTTGTATGTTTGAACCATTTTATAATAAGTTTATACTTATGAAAAATTTTAAGAACTTTATTGAGATATAGTCTACATACCATATACTATTTATCCATTGAAAGTGTGTAATTCAGAGGATTTTAGTGTATTCACAGTTGTGTAACCATCACCACAGTCAATTTTAGAACATTTATATCACCATGAAAAGAAACATCATACTCAATAGTGATCACTCCCCATTTCCACCTGACCTCCACACCCCTAGGCAACCACCAGTCTACTTTCTGTCTCTGTGGATTTGCCTGTTCTGCACATTTCATATAAATGGAATCATATAATATGTAGTCTTTTGTAACTCTTTTTTTTTTTAACATCTTTATTGGAGTATAACTGCTTTGCAGTGTTGTGTTTCTGCTGTATAACAGAGTGAATCAGCTATATGCATACATATATCCCCCATCCCCTCGCTCTTGCGCCTCTCTCCCATCCTCCCTATCCCACCTCTCTAGGTGGTCACAAAGCACCGTGCTGATCTCCCTGTGCTCTGCAGCTGCTTCCTACTAGTTATTAATTTTACATTTGCTAGCATATATATATCAATGCTACTCTCTCACTTTGTCCCAGCTTACCTTTCCCTGTGTCCTCAACGCCATTCTCTACATCTGTGTCTTTATTCCTATCCTGACTTTAGGTTCATGAGAACCTAAAGTTTGTCTTTTTTTTTTTTTTAGATTCCATGTATATGTGTTAGCATATGGTATTTGTTTTTCTCTTTCTGACTTACTTCACTCTGTATGACAGACTCTGGATCCATCCACCTCACTACAGATAACTCAATTTCGTTTCTTTTTATGGCTAATATTCCATTGTATATATATGCCACATCTTCTTTATGCATTCATCTGTTGATGGACACTTAGGTTGCTTGCATTTCCTGGCTATTGTAAATAGTGCTGCAATGAACATTGTGATACATGACTCTTTTTGAATTATGGTTTTCTCAGGGTATATGCCCAGTAGTGAGATTACTGGGTCATATGATAGTTCTATTTTTAGTTTTTTAAGGAACCTCCATACTGTTCTTCATAGTGGCTGTATCAATTTACATTGCCACAAACAGTGTAAGAGTGTTCCCTTTTCTCCACACCCTCTCCAGCATTTAATGTTTGTAGATTTTTGATGATGGCCATTCTGACCGGTGTGAGGTGATACCTCATTGCAATTTTGATTTGCATTTCACTAATGATTAGCGATGTTGAGCATCCTTTCATGTGTTTATTGGCAATCTGTATATCTTCTTTTGAGAAATGTCTGTTTAGGTCTTCTGCCCATTTTTGGATAGGGTTGTTAGTTTTTTTGTTGAGCTGCATGAGCTGCTTGTAAATTTTGGAGATTAATCCTTTGTCAGTTGCTTCGTTTACAAATATTATCTCCCATTCAGAGGGTTGTCTTGTTGTGTTGTTTATGGTTTCCATTGCTGTGCAAAAGCTTTTAAGTTTCTTTAGGTCCCCTTTGTTTATTTTTGTTTTTACTTCCATTTCTCTAGGAGGTGGTTCGAAAAGGATCTTGCTGTGATTTATGTCATAGAGTGTTCTGCCTATGTTTTCCTCTAAGAGTTTTATACTGCCTGGCCTTACATTTAGGTCATTAATCCATTTTGAGTTTATTTTTGTGTATGGTGTTAGGAAGTGTTCTAATTTCATTCTTTTACATGTAGCTGTCCAGTTTTCCCAGCACCACTTATTAAAGAGGGTGTCTTTTCTCCATTGTATATTCTTTCCTCCTTTATCAAAGATAAGGTGACCACATGTGCATGGGTTTATCTCTGGGCTTTCTATCCTGTTCCATTGATCTATATTTCTGTTTTTGTGACAGTACCATACTGTTTTGGTTACTGTAGCTTTGTGGTATAGTCTGAAGTCAGGGAGCCTGATTCCTCCAGCTCCATTTCTCTTTCTCACAATTGCTTTGTCTATTCGGAGTCTTTTGTGTTTCCATACAAATTGTGAAATTTTTTGTTCTAGTTCTGTGAAAAAAGCCATTGGTAGTTTGATAGGGATTGCATTGAATCTGTAGATAGCATTGGGTAGTATAGTGTTCATTCTTCCAATCCAAGAACATGGTATATCTCTCCGTCTGGTTGTATCATCTTCAGTTTCTTTCATCAGTGTCTTATAGTTTTCTGCATACAGGTCTTTTGTCTCCTTAGGTAGGTTTATTCCTAGGTATTTTATCCTTT